GAAAGGATGAATTAGGTGATGATGATCATTAATATATAGAAACACAAAACTATAACTGACTTCAGTCACAACCTTGAAATCAGCTGAAATATAAGACATTCAATCTCTTAAAATCTTAGCGCCAGGATCTTTAAGCAACTCTGCAAACAGCAGCTTACTTGTTACCAACCTGTTTGGTAATAGGCACCAAATAATCTCTGAACTGTGAAATTTTTACTCTGAGGATTTTGCTGTGTGTATACAAACAAATCCAGAGTCATGGTCATAAACAGGCGGATGGTCAAAGGCAGGCAGCGGACAGGAATAAACAATAAAACAAAGCAAGGGTCAAACACAGCAAGACAAGGCAAAAGAATGTCCACAGTACAGTTTACAAGACTCAGCACTGAAGTGTGTGCGGTTTCTAAAGTCTATGTAATCAGTTCATGAGCGGCTCTCAGTCGTGAGTGTGTGAAATCAACAGAATCCGGAACAGGTGCATGTGAGCAGTGCATGACTGGATCTGTAGTCCATCTAATGCCATCTTTGTAGTCCTTAAGTGATCTGTGTTTACCAGTGATCTGCCAGGATTAGATCACTGGTGATTGTGACAGTAAACATGTTAAAACATGTTTATCAATGTTTTGTTTAAATGCACCAAACATTATTGTCTATTTTCACTGAGAAGTGAATAATAGAATAATAATATTAAATATTCATTTTAAATTGGGAGTACTTCTTTATGCTTAGTTCTATCTATCTATCTATCTATCTATCTATCTATCTATCTATCTATCTATCTATCTATCTATCTATCTATCTATCTATCTATCTATCTATCTATCTATCTATCTATCTATCTATCTATCTATCTATCTATCTATCTATCTATCTATCTACCTATCTATCTATCTATCTATCTATCTATCTATCTATCTATCTATCTATCTATCTATCTATCTAGTCAGTCTGTATGTATCTATCTATCTATCTATCTATCTATCTATCTATCTATCTATCTATCTATCTGTATATCTATCTGTATATCTATCTATCTATCTGTATATCTATCTATCTATCTATCTATCTATCTATCTATCTATCTATCTATCTATCTATCTATCTATCTATCTATCTATCCACCCGTCTGTCTGTCTGTCTGTCGGTCGGTCGGTCTGTCGGTCTGTCTGTCTATCTATCTATCTACTATCTATCTATCTATCTATCTATCTATCTATCTATCTATCTACCCACCCGTCTGTCTGTCTGTCTGTCGGTCTGTCGGTCGGTCGGTCGGTCGGTCTGGTCGGTCTGTCGGTCGGTCTGTCTGTCTATCTATCTATCTATCTATCTATCTATCTATCTATCTATCTATCTACCCACCGGTCGGTCGGTCGGTCGGTCGGTCGGTCTATCTATCTATCTATCTATCTATCTATCTATCTACCCACCCGTCTGTCTGTCTGTCTGTCTGTCTGTCTGTCTGTCTGTCTATCTATCTATCTATCTATCTATCTATCTATCTATCTATCTATCTATCTATCTATCTATCTATCTATCTATCTATCTACCCACCCGTCTGTCTGTCTGTCTGTCTGTCTGTCTGTCTGTCTGTCTGTCTGTCTGTCTGTCTGTCTGTCTATCTATCTATCTATCTATCTATCTATCTATCTATCTATCTATCTATCTATCTACCCACCCGTCTGTCTGTCTGTCTGTCTGTCTGTCTGTCTGTCTGTCTGTCTGTCTGTCTGTCTGTCTGTCTGTCTGTCTGTCTGTCTATCTATCTATCTATCTATCTATCTATCTATCTATCTATCTATCTATCTATCTACCCACCCGTCTGTCTGTCTGTCTGTCTGTCTGTCTGTCTGTCTGTCTGTCTGTCTGTCTGTCTATCTATCTATCTATCTATCTATCTATCTATCTACCCACTCGTCTGTCTGTCTGTCTGTCTGTCTGTCTGTCTGTCTGTCTATCTATCTATCTATCTATCTATCTATCTATCTACCCACCTGTCTGTCTGTCTGTCTGTCTGTCTGTCTGTCTGTCTGTCTGTCTATCTATCTATCTATCTACCCACCTGTCTGTCTGTCTGTCTGTCTGTCTGTCTGTCTGTCTGTCTGTCTATCTATCTATCTATCTACCCACCTGTCTGTCTGTCTGTCTGTCTGTCTGTCTGTCTGTCTGTCTGTCTATCTATCTATCTATCTATCTATCTATCTATCTACCCACCCGTCTGTCTGTCTGTCTGTCTGTCTGTCTGTCTGTCTGTCTGTCTGTCTGTCTATCTATCTATCTATCTATCTATCTACCCACCCGTCTGTCTGTCTGTCTGTCTGTCTGTCTGTCTGTCTGTCTATCTATCTATCTATCTACCCACCTGTCTGTCTGTCTGTCTGTCTGTCTATCTATCTATCTATCTATCTATCTATCTATCTACCCACCTGTCTGTCTGTCTGTCTGTCTGTCTGTCTGTCTGTCTGTCTGTCTGTC